GAACAGTGAAAATTGAAAAATTCTCATTCTAACACTTGAACCCTGGTGAAGTTGAGGGTGTTGCTCACTTGAATTGAGAGAGATGACTTAACAGCGTAGGATTAGAACACGCCCAGATAGGTTTGAAAGACATGGAAGTATTCCCATTCCATGAAATATGAAACAATGAGGCAGAACTGGTAATGATGAGTGTTCTTCTGTGATCTTGAAAGACAAGCATGCTTAAATAACATTACACAATGGCAAAGTGCATCAGAATGATCTTGTCAACTACTAGTCACCGAATACATCCGGAAAGTTGAGTATGTTTTTACCTGGATGAGTTTGAGGAAATAGAGGAAGCCAAGTAGTGCAAGAGCGGAGAGGGCCGGAGAGGAGTAAGATGCATCAACACCCGCTGTTCTTGACGACATAGGCCTGCCCGGATAAGACATAATATATATCATTAGCCAGCAACAAGAGGAAATTGTAGGTTACTCTTAGTACAGATTCTGCAATGAAGTATTCTAGAATATACTGTCTAGTATATTCTAGAATCAAGTAATCACACTGATGATGCCATCAACACATCCTGAATACAGTATATAGTATAATACTTTCCTACATCAGATATTATGTTCCTAATTCTGCTCTACTTTCATTATACTATGTGCTAATCTATCCCTATCTTATATGGTATCTGTGCATGGGGCTCAACCACTGCAAACTACCTCAAGCCAATCATCACCGGTAGCTAAGCCAAGGGAGCCAGTGGGAGCCAAGCCAAGGGAGCCGGTGACTGAGCGGACAGAACACTGGGCGCGTGATCCTGTGGTCCTGGGTTCGATCCCGGGCGCCAGCGAGAAACAATGGGCAGAGTTTCTTTCACCCTGATGCCCTTGTTACCTAGCAGTAAATAGGTACCTGGGAGTTAGTCAGCTGTCACGGGCTGCTTCCTGGTGTACTCACCTAGTTACTCACCTAGTTGTGTTTGCAGGGGTTGAGCTCTGGCTCTTTGGTCCCGCCTCTCAACCGTCAATCAACAGGTGTACAGATTCCTGAGCCTATCGGGCTCTGTCATATCTACACTTGAAACTGTGTATGGAGTCAGCCTCCACCACATCACGCCCTAATGCATTCCATTTGTCAACCACTCTGACACTAAAAAAGTTCTAATATCTCTGTGGCTCATTTGGGCACTCAGTTTCCACCTGTGTCCCCTTGTGCGTGTTCCCCTTGTGTTAAATAGACTGTCTTTATCTACCCTATCAATCCCCTTCAGAATCTTGAATGTGGTGATCATGTCCCCCCTAACTCTTCTGTCTTCCAGCGAAGTGAGGTTTAATTCCCGTAGTCTCTCCTCGTAGCTCATACCTCTCAGCTCGGGTACTAGTCTGGTGGCAAACCTTTGAACCTTTTCCAGTTTAGTCTTATCCTTGACTAGATATGGACTCCATGCTGGAGCTGCATACTCCAGGATTGGCCTGACATATGTGGTATACAAAGTTCTGAATGATTCTTTACACAAGTTTCTGAATGCCGTTCGTATGTTGGCCAGCCTGGCATATGCCGCTGATGTTATCCGCTTGATATGTGCTGCAGGAGACAGGTCTGGCGTGATATCAACCCCCAAGTCTTTTTCCTTCTCTGACTCCTGAAGAATTTCCTCTCCCAGATGATACCTTGTATCTGGCCTCCTGCTCCCTACACCTATCTTCATTACATTACATTTGATTGGGTTAAACTAACAACCATTTGTTCGACCATTCCTTCAGCTTGTCTAGGTCTTCTTGAAGCCTCAAACAGTCCTCTTCTGTTTTAATCCTTCTCATAATTTTAGCATCGTCCGCAAACATTGAGAGAAATGAATCGATACCCTCCGGGAGATCATTTACATATATCAGAAACAAGATAGGACCGAGTACAGAGCCCTGTGGGACTCCACTGGTGACTTCACGCCAATCGGAGGTCTCACCCCTCACCGTAACTCTCTGCTTCCTATTGCTTAGATACTCCCTTATCCACTGGAGCACCTTACCAGCTACACCTGCCTGTCTCTCCAGCTTATGTACCAGCCTCTTATGCGGTACTGTGTCAAAGGCTTTCCGACAATCCAAGAAAATGCAGTCTGCCCAGCCCTCTCTTTCTTGCTTAATCTGTGTCACCTGATCGTAGAATTCTATCAAGCCTGTAAGGCAAGATTTACCCTCCCTGAATCCATGTTGGCGATTTGTCACGAAGTCCCTTCTCTCCAGATGTGTTACCAGGTTTTTCTCACGATCTTCTCCATCACCTTGCATGGTATACAAGTCAAGGACACTGGCCTGTAGTTCAGTGCCTCTTGTCTGTCGCCCTTTTTGTATATTGGGACCACATTCGCCGTCTTCCATATTTCTGGTAGGTCTCCCGTCTCTAGTGACTTACTATACACTATGGAGAGTGGCAAGCAAAGTGCCTCTGCACACTCTTTCAGTACCCATGGTGAGATCCCATCTGGACCAACAGCCTTTCTAACATCCAGATCCAGCGTGTGTGTGTGTGGGGGGGGGGGGAAATAGTAGTAGTAGAAACAGTCGATTGACAGTTGAGAGGCGGGCCGAAAGAGCAGAGCTCAACCCCCGCAAGCACAACTAGGTGAATACACACACACACACACACACACACACACACTAGCCACAGAGATATTAGAAAGAACTTTTTTAGTGTCAGAGTGGTTGACAAATGGAATGCATTAGGGGGTGATGTGGTAGAGGCTGACTCCATACACAGTTTCAAGTGTAGATATGATAGAGCCCGATAGGCTCAGGAATCTGTACACCTGTTGATTGACGGTTGAGAGGCGGGACCAAAGAGCCAGAGCTCAACCCCCGCAAACACAACTAGGTGAGCACAACTAGGTGAGTACACCCCACATTAAACATTAAGCCACCCAAGAGGTGGCACGGGCACGAATATCCCGGGCCCGTGAGAGAGAGAGACAGAGGACAAGTATCATCAACCCAAACTGAACTGCTTGTCATACAACAGGCCTTTGCATAATTGATTGCACAAAATACTCAAAATGCACTCATACACACAGACTTAAAAGCTGCACTTCAAATATTAGGGAAAAAGCAGTGGAAAGACAACGTTTAAATAATGACCACAATTTTGTATCTTGGAGCAGTCGCTAAAGGCAAAAGACTCAACATAACCTTAAACTGGATCCCATCCCATATTGGAAGCCCATTAAATGAGAAAGCCGATGAAACTGGTAAATTGGCAACTCGTCATCCAGTGATCCACAAAAGAATCCAACCCAGTCTAGAGTATATAATCACCAAAAATCTTCCACACCTCAACAAAGCCCATCTACAACAGAGTAGCAGAAGGTTCACCCTCTGCAATATGGTATCTTCAGGCCACCAAGTTAGACAGGTTAAATATCCCGAAAGTAATCCACTGGGAAACAGCAGTTCAGTTTTATAGACTACGTCTAGGTTACAGATGCAACTGGGAAATTAGTGAACCCAGAGAGTGTGGGAATGCATCTTCTGCCAAACAAAGAAAAGCCACTACTTCACTATCCCCTGGAATGTGAAGCAACCAAGGACCTAAGAAGAGCTTGAAGAGTACCTGAATCTTGCAGTTACCACCCTGAAGCCATCAACACTGCCACTCTTCTGGTAATGAATACTGTCAAGCAGTATCCTCTCCTGTGACAGCGGCCACGTAGTAAGGTTTAACGATTTAAATGCGAGCACAGCACGCAGTATATCCTTTCACGACCAAAGATCACCTTCACTCTAAAAATCTACCACTTAGGGGCTATTCATGCCCGTGCCACCTCTTTGGTGGCTTAATCTCTAACAATCAATCACTCTCCCTCCCGTACCATGAAGACCCCAACCATCCACTGATCTTCAGTATCAGTTATTGGTTCTGGTAATGGCTCCAAAAAGAGCCTCCACTTACGGGCCATTCATGCCCGTGCCACCTTCTGGGGTGGCTTATTCTTTATCAATTAATCTCCCACCACAATCTACTTGATAATGGTCCAGGACGTTATTGTGACTCAACGTCTGCACACATGGAGTAGATTGTGGTCAGTATAACTAAGCAAAGTCCCTCTACTGGCATGTATTGTTACACTAATGACATTTGTTTACTAAACATAGTACGTGACATTGTGATACATTATAGTACGTGACATTGTGATACATAATAGTACAAAGATAATAAAAGTTGGTGCTTGGGATTTTTATACTGGCTTGTAAATAAAATATAATTGAATTAAACAATGCTCACTTTGGCATTTACTGCCACTGATTGCTTGCATGCTGGAGTGTCAGTGATGAAGATATATGATCTGAACATCTGGAGGTGCGGGAAGACAAAGTACGATACTCACGCGTAGGACTCGCCAATGTGGTCTGAGCTGGTATCGTAGCTGTTGTGGTAACCAGGATTAGGTCCATACTGTTGCAGAAAGGAATTGTTGTCTGAAGATGCCAGAAAGTCTCTGTTATTTTCATCTCTATAACCTTGATGTGTATCATTGCTGGTGCTGTAACCCTGTTGCTGGATGTTGGTGTTACTGATGCTATACTCCAAGTTGTTCCCATTGCTGCCATACAATCCTCGTGCCATTTTATCTGAAGCAGAGGCGAGGATATATTGTACGCTGTCAAGATCTCTGGTATATATATATATATATATATATATATATATATATATATATATATATATATATATATATAGTATATATATATATACACACAGTAGAATATACATATATCTATAATCACTAAGAACTCTATTGGCCCGATCAGGATCTGAACCCTAGCTGCCAAGGATCTCCTCTTGGCGTACAGGGTACTGTAACTACTAGACCAATGATTATAGACGATCATTGGTCTAGTGGTTACGGTATTCTGTACGCCAAGGGGTGATCCTGGGCGGTGGGGGTTTGAAGCCTGGTCGGGTCCATTGAGTTCTTGGTGATTAATGGCTCGCACGTTCATACAGCCTTTGTGTGTCTGTCACACACACACACACACACACACACACACACACACACACACACACACACACACACACACACACACACACACACACACAGTGCGAAAGCTGGAGATGCAAGCAGGGGATGAAAGGGAAGGTACTCCATTGGATAAGGGAGTACCTAAGTAACAGAAGGCAGCGAGTCACTGTGCTGGGTGAGGTCTCAGATTGGCGAGACGTCACCAGTGGGGTCCCGCAGGGTTCAGTCCTTGGACCCATACTGTCTCTTATATATGTAAATGATCTCCCAGTTGGTATAGAATCCTTCCTCTCATTGTTTGCTGATGATGCAAAAATTATGAGGATTAAGACGGAGGAAAACAGTATGAGACTACAAGATGACCTAGACAGACTGCATGAATGGTCCAACAAATGGCTACTGAAGTTCAACCCGAGTAAATGTAAGGTAATGAAACTAGGCAGTGGAAACAGGAGGCCAGACACAGGATACAGAACGGGAGATGAAGTCCTTCATGAAACAGACAGAAGGATTTAGGAGTTGATATCACACCAACCCTGTCTCCTGAAGCCCACATCAAAAGAACAACATCGGCGTATGCGAGGCTAGCTAACATCAGAACTGCCTTCAGGAACCTGTGTAAGGAATCATTCAGAACCTTGTATACCACATATGTAAGACCAATCCTGGAGTATGCGGCCCCAGCATGGAGGCCGTACCTTGTCAAGCACAAGACGAAGCTTGAGAAAGTTCAGAGATATGCCACTAGGCGGCGTGGGAGGTGTAGGTGCAGGCAAGGTGGTGTACGTAGGCGGCGTGATATGAGAGTAGGGAGGTGTGGGGGATGAAAGGGGAGGATGTGGTGTGACCTACTACCAGTAGGCGCCGCTGACAACGCCCGTCACGCACAAATCTCACGCACGCATGCATGCATGCATTAAAGTCACTTCAACATGCACATATTCTCTCTCTCGCGCGCGGGCGAGCGCACACTGGAGGGGTGGAGGGGAGGCGGAATAAGAAATCATGATAGCAACTTAAAAATATCTAAGGTTAATTGACAGCGTAACATGGTTCAAACGTAGAACAGCAGAATGATACACTAATACCTCACTGAGATGTCAATAAGTTCATTAGTGTTAGACTTGTTAATACATGGAATGTGTTAGTAGCTGCAGTGGTTGAAGATAAATTAATAGATGTAAATATGATAAAACAAGTGGGAACCGAGTCAGTACATTCAACTCAGAATACACATCTAGGAAATAACATCTAATAATACCCATTACCCCAATATTAGTACTTAAGACATACATCTTCACCAGATTAATAATAACCTCAGTCAATTTATATAACGAACTACTACAATGTACCTTGTCATCTAACCTGATCTGTTAGATTAAGGACCTGTCCGAAACGCATTGCGTGTTAATGGCTTTGCAAGAATGTAAAAATATCATAATTTATGTAATCTCAGTTTCCGTGAGTGAGTGGGGTCGACCGCTGGATGTAATGGACTTGAGTCGAGGACGGGTTGCTATAAATGCTTTACCCACGTACTACAAATATAAATGATCGCCAACAGAACCTAACCTAACCTATGCCTATATGTGCCTGTGGGTCCCCAAAGGCGCAGCGAGGGGTCCCATATGGAGAAGTAGGTTTATATATTAAAGAGAACCTTTTATGCACATAGCTCCTGAACTCTACGATGGAGATGGAATAGGTAGATACAGTACTTGGAATCAAAGTAGAGAAGGTAACTATAGTTATTACTCCAATATACAAACCGCCAGATAAAACGGTTAAGCACAAACAAAAAGAACTGCCTCGATAATCTAGCAAATCCAGTGCCAGATATTAACTTCCTTGAAGACTTCAGTCTACCCAATGTGTTGAAGGTGACCTTTCCGTGTACCCGAGAGGACGGAAGACTACTAATCTCTGGCTGTCGAGACCATCACCCATTTCACAACTGGACACACAATTGCACACACGTCTTCTGTCTTACGAAAGTATTAGTATGATAACCCGTATTTTCGTTTAAAAAACCATGGAGGAAAGCATTACTGTTTAACCAAAACGATCTTATTTTTTACTGTCATTTCATAGAATGAGAGTACGTACATACCATTGATGTTTTTACATTCTTGCAAAGCCACTAACACGCATAGCGTTTCGGGAAGGTCCTTATAATCTAACAATTTTAAGTAGGTAATTTGTTGCAAAAGAAGAATATTAAATGGTTCATTGTAAGAACATTTGAGGATTATCAACAGGTACATTGGATCATAATTTGAGGACTATTATTAGGTATACAATGTAACAAAATTTGCGTTCAACAGCACAAATATGATATAAGTTACTATGGAATAGAAGCGTTTCAATAAAAAAGGTGAAAATAGATTTACGGAGTAGTTGACAATTAAGACGAACAAAGCATCGAAGGAATGAACAGCGTCATTAATAACTGTACGGTAGTGTAAATGTCCCTTATGCCCACTCCACAACACCCTAAGGCAGCGACAACACCCTAAGGCAGCGACAACACCCCTAAGGCAGCGACAACACCCCTAAGGCAGCGACAACACCCCTAAGGCAGCGACAACACCCTAAGGCAGCGACAACACCCTAAGGCAGCGACAACACCCTAAGGCAGCGACAACACCCTAAGGCAGCGACAACACCCTAAGGCAGCGACAACACCCAAAGGCAGCGACAACACCCTAAGGCAGCGACAACACCCCTAAGGCAGCGACAACACCCTAAGGCAGCGACAACACCCTAAGGCAGCGACAACACCCTAAGGCAGCGACAACACCCTAAGGCAGCGACAACACCCCTAAGGCAGCGACAACACCCTAAGGCAGCGACAACACCCCTAAGGCAGCGACAACACCCTAAGGCAGCGACAACACCCTAAGGCAGCGACAACACCCTAAGGCAGCGACAACACCCTAAGGCAGCGACAACACCCTAAGGCAGCGACAACACCCTAAGGCAGCGACAACACCCTAAGGCAGCGACAACACCCCTAAGGCAGCGACAACACCCCTAAGACAGCGACAACACCCCTAAGGCAGCGACAACACCCCTAAGGCAGCGACAACACCCCTAAGACAGCGACAACACCCCTAAGGCAGCGACAACACCCCTAAGGCAGCGACAACACCCCTAAGGCAGCGACAACACCCCTAAGACAGCGACAACACCCTAAGGCAGCGACAACACCCCTAAGGCAGCGACAACACCCCTAAGGCAGCGACAACACCCCTAAGACAGCGACAACACCCTAAGGCAGCGACAACACCCCTAAGGCAGCGACAACACCCCTAAGGCAGCGACAACACCCCTAAGACAGCGACAACACCCCTAAGGCAGCGACAACACCCTAAGGCAGCGACAACACCCTAAGACAGCGACAACACCCTAAGACAGCGACAACACCCTAAGGCAGCGACAACACCCCTAAGGCAGCGACAACACCCTAAGGCAGCGACAACACCCCTAAGGCAGCGACAACACACTACGACACATGTGTGCGTCTTAGTGTGGAAACAAGTTAGTTTAGTTCATTTATTATGCACCCCATACCCATCTTGTGGGCGGTAGTGGAAAGGGTTACAGAGGCACATAATGGGCTCAGGAACTGAACCCCACAATTCATTTAGCTAGGCAAGTTACAATCTTGATGAGCTAGTTACAAAATTCAATATAAGTCGTCACATCAACAATGGGTTCGAGATCGACCTCAAGTACAGGTTCTAAATTAAGCAACTTGTGGAAACAATCGACTCGAGAATGGTCCAAGACGGACCGAAACGTCGTCGTCCCTTCACCTAGTGTGTGGTCTGGTCAACAAAACACATGGAAATTTAGTACTAAGTTGCTGAATCAAAAACAACAACATGTAAACACCTTTCGCGGTCGTAGGGAGACCGCATACAGCCCCGCTCCTGTGCCAGGTAAGTCCACTACGGGATCACCATAGCCCGGCTACTTGCCGCTCCTGTGCCAGGTAAGTCCACTACGGGATCACCATAGCCCGGCTACTTGCCGCTCCTGTGCCAGGTAAGTCCACTACGGATCACCATAGCCCGGCTACTTGCCGCTCCTGTGCCAGGTAAGTCCACTACGGGATCACCATAGCCCGGCTACTTGCCGCTCCTGTGCCAGGTAAATCCACTAAGGGATCACCATAGCCCGTGCTACTTGCCGCTCCTGTGCCAGGTAAGTCCACTACGGGATCACCATAGCCCGGCTACTTGCCGCTCCTGTGCCAGGTAAGTCCACTACGGGATCACCATAGCCCGGCTACTTGCCGCTCCTGTGCCAGGTAAGTCCACTACGGGATCACCATAGCCCGGCTACTTGCCGCTCCTGTGCCAGGTAAGTCCACTACGGGATCACCATAGCCCGGCTACTTGCCGCTCCTGTGCCAGGTAAATCCACTAAGGGATCACCATAGCCCGTGCTACTTGCAACTTTGTTCAGAGTAGCTGAATCTAAAACAACAACATGTACGCTTAGTATACCTCTATACTAAGTGTATAGCTTATATTCCTAAGGTTGTCACATCGTCGACTAAACATTAAACAGTAAAAATGTAAACATTAGGTGTTTCTTCACTCTCTAGATGGAAAAGGTATTTACACAGAATGGAAAATATCCATCAGAAAATTAACAATAGTCACGAGGCCAAGAATATTGAATGAACATAAAATATTGTGTGGATACTCACAAGAGTGATTTGCGTTCCAGTTGGAGGACAATGTAATATAATTATAGTCACAGTCTTCCTTCAGGTGAGCGCGAGACAGTCTCCACTCCACGGCCACACAGGCAACTGAACCTGTCGACGCTCCGGCCTGAACCATGACAAACATTCCGTTTTCTGTTGTTAGAATAGCACCATTTTCATTGTCTTTGTTGATGTGACGACTTATATTGAATTTTGTAACTAGTTCATCAAGATTGTAACTTGCTTAGCTAAATGAATTGTGGGGTTCAGTCCCTGAGCCCATTATGTGCCTCTGTAACCCTTTCCACTACCGCCCACAAGATGGGTATGGGGTGCATAATAAAGAAAGAAATAATAATAATTATAGAGGCCGTGCGTAAATGGAGACATTTTCCTGCTAGGTTTCATTTTGTGCTGATTACTGACCAAATTAATTCAGATTTAGAAGAACTAAGAAATGCACAGAGACCTGAAAGCTGCAGTATTAAAAGTTATGACAAGTTCCGTAATAATAGGTATTTGTATGGTCAGCACAGTAACCGGACCGTAATTAAATGGTGTAATTACTTACATCGTAATTAAATGGTTAACATTATTAATTCCATTAGACAATAATTAAACGGCAAATGGTTAAAATTTATGTATTGAACTATTTATCAAGTTACGAATTATAAATGGTTAGTATAACTAAATTATCGTCAGCTGAAGGCTTCGACAGTGAAAATGGATGAGGTGTGGTAGAGATTAGTGGGTCCTGCTGTGGTTAATGGCGTCGTTTGAGTCGGTCCTGCTGTGGTTAATGGCGTCGTCTGAGTGGGTCCTGCTGTGGTTAATGGCGTCGTCTGAGTGGGTCCTGCTGTGGTTAATGGCGTCGTCTGAGTGGGTCCTGCTGTGGTTAATGGCGTCGTCTGAGTGGGTCCTGCTGTGGTTAATGGCGTCGTCTGAGTGGGTCCTGCTGTGGTTAATGGCGTCGTCTGAGTGGGTCCTGCTGGGGTTAATGGCGTCGTCTGAGTGGGTCCTGCTGTGGTTAATGGCGTCGTCTGAGTGGGTCCTGCTGTGGTTAATGGCGTCGTCTGAGTGGGTCCTGCTGTGGTTAATGGCGTTGTCTGAGTGGGTCCTGCTGTGGTTAATGGCGTCGTCTGAGTGGGTCCTGCTGGGGTTAATGGCGTCGTCTGAGTGGGTCCTGCTGTGGTTAATGGCGTCGTCTGAGTGGGTCCTGTTGTGGTTAATGGCGTCGTCTGAGTGGGTCCTGCTGTGGTTAATGGCGTCGTCTGAGTCGGTCCTGCTGTGGTTAATGGCGTCGTCTGAGTCGGTCCTGCTGTGGTTAATGGCGTCGTCTGAGTGGGTCCTGCTGTGGTTAATGGCGTCGTCTGAGTCGGTCCTGCTGTGGTTAATGGCGTCGTCTGAGTGGGTCCTGGGGTTAATGGCGTCGTGTCTCTGGTGACGCCGTCACAACGTGAATGATAATTCCTCACTATTAACATAGTCTCGTCTCCAGTCTGCACAAACGTTACAATGTAGCCATGCACAATTTATATTGTTATAGTATATTAAATAACTCAATCAACTCGAGTTATGATATACATTCACCACTTAGGGACGAGTCATGCTTCCTGTCCACCTAAACCTTATAACATACATTCCATTCACATATATTATAATATTGTCTATATTATTTTATAATATATTTGTACTGTATATTAGGCTGCGAATATTTTGTCTTTGTTTCATCCCAGAACCATGCCATTGTTCCTTTTTATAATAAATAAGGTTTTAATTGAGTAATTGTTTTGCATATCCGATAATTCTTCTTGATATTGCAAAGTCCCCACTCATAATCCACTAACATTGACCGAGTTATCCAAGGTGGAAATTATTTTTATCTCAAATCGGTAAATCATTCAAATCACAGACCATTTTGCTGAGGTGATCCGCAATAACCAGTTGCTGAGGTGATCCGCAATAACCAGTTGCTGAGGTGATCCGCAATAACCAGTTGCTGAGGTGATCCGCAATAACCAGTTGCTGAGGTGATCCGCAATAACCAGTACAGCAGCATCAATAACTTCACATTTAGCCAACAAAATTGGTCAAATTTTGTAGATAAACTTCCTTTTGACATAATTAAATAAATCCAACGAAGGAAAATATCTTAGGCTTTGCATCAACATGAGTTTTATTTGCTCCTTGTAGTTGTTTATTTAACATATTCAGTTTGTCAAAGATATCTGTTAAATAACTCACAAATGCTTCACCATCAACTGTTTTCAGGAGTTTCATTTTAGGGTTGTCTTAAAACAAGAATATTAAATAGTTCCGTGAATCTTATCAAACAATTTCCTTGTGACGGCCATCTCACCATGGTGTTGCAACAGTCGTATATTTTTATTTATTTTATTTTATTTATATATATATACAAGAAGGAACATTGGGTTTGTGAGAATACATTGGATAGTACAGTATTTACATTCTTGTAAAGCCACTAGTACGCGCAGCGTTTCGGGCAGGTCCTTAATCTAGCAGATAATTTTAAGTAGGTAATTTCAATCAGAATTGATAAATGAAAGATACATTACAAGAGAAAAATGAGATGAGAGAGATAAGCAAATATATTAAAGCACATTGTTATATTAAAGCTCTGATTGATTACATTGACAGCTTGATTAGTAATTAGTATTAGTAATTAGTATATGATCATTTTATCCTCACAAAATTGTTTGAATGACGCCCAGATTTGCCATTAGTTTTGATGCTGTTAATACATTTGATAACTGAATTCCAAATTGCCTACTAATGTAGACAGGTGTATTAGTGCTGCAAAAGTTTTTTTTTGTTTTTTTGAAAGCCAGAGCAGCTGAAAATGTGTAAACAAACACAAAGGACAAAGAGTTTTCAATCCCAAAGATAAGACAAAATGTAAATTAATGCCAGTTGCCTCCAAAAGCTCCTTTTAAGTTAATTGAGATCATTGTTAATGATCCCTGCACACGTATTTGGCCTTTTCCTCTATGACCTGCTTGGGTCCGCCATTTTGGGAACTGGCTGTCATTTTTTTGTGTCAAATGTCAATGACGTTCTTTTTAAATTACGACAATATTTATCAAAATTTGTTTTAGTAGTTGAAAAGTACGTTAGCTGTTCAAGTAGTGAGCATTGAAGAAAACGGCCGTAATGCACCCCATACTCTTCAAATTGTTCCACGTTGAGAAACGTTGGTCTAGAGAGAGAAAAAAAATTGACAGTCCCACATAAGAGGTTGCTGGAGCCTAGAACAACCACTTCTGTAGATTGCTGGAGTGGTGACAGGAAGACTTCTGACATGGACAAAAAAAAATCCGACAAAAATGAGAGGCGGAAATCAGAGGCAATGTATCGGAAGAATGTTACTAACGGACTACCAGAGTACTCAGTTCTAGCACCAGAAATGTTCATCGTGTATATGAATGATCTACCAGCAGGAATACATAATAATAAGAACATGTTTACTGATGATGATAAGGTACTTAGAGGATTGTCGTGCCCTTCATGATGACCTGGACAGAATAAGCTCTTGGTGGATGGAATTCAGTGTGAATGAATGCCACGGTTTACAATGTGAAATAGGAGAAAATACACAAAACTTATCAATTATTTGAAAAGTTTTAAAGAACTCTGATAAAGAAAGAGATCTAGGAGCCGGTCGGCCGAGCGGTCAGCACGCTGGACTGTAATCCTGTGGTCCCGGGTTCGATCCCGGGCGCCGGCGAGAAACAATGGGCAGAGTTTCTTTCACCCTATGCCCCTGTTACCTAGCAGTAAATAGGTACCTGGGTGTTAGTCAGCTGTCACGGCTTCCACCTGGGGGTGGAGGCCTGGTCGAGGACCGGGCCGCGGGGACACTAAAGCCCCGAAATCATCTCAAGATAACGTCAAGATAGAGGAGGCCCTGAACAGTAAACTGTCATCAGAGTCACCACATAAAGAACATTGTACGAAGAGTATATGCTACACCTTCTAACTTCGGAATGTTTTTAAATATATAGCAAATAAAATATTAAAGAAATTATTCACGACTTTTGTGAGGCCAAAACTGGAATATGCAGCGGATGTTGGTGCCCGTGTCTCAAGAAGCACATCAACAAACTGGAAAAGTGCAAAGACATGCTACTAAATGGCTTCCGCAAATGAAAAACGTTTCTGCCCGAAACGCTTTGCGTAATAGTGGCTTTAGGCATTGTATGTACTAGCTCTTATCTATAAAGCCAACAAACTTTGTTAAATCTCTTTATGTATGTACCTTTGCCTAAATAAAAATTATTATTATTATTATTATAAAAACAAGAGGCCAAAGTTGTTTAAATTCGCCAAAGCTGAAAGATAGAAGAAAAAGAGAAGATATGATCACTATATACAAAATAATAACAGGGATCGACAAAACTGGCAAAGAGGAATTCTTGAAAACCACAACTTCAAGAACGGGCGCGGATTCAAGCCAAGGAAGCAAAGATGCCGAAAAAAATATTACGAAGCTTTCTTTTGCAGAGTGGCATGCGGATGGAACAAGCTAAGTGAGAAGGTGGTGGAGGCCAACCCTCAGTAGTTTCAAAATATCATATGACAAAAGAACGGAGACGACGAGGAAACCATGGGTGTAGCTCTCATCATATAACTACACTTAGGTGTAGTTACAGGATGAGTAACTACACTTAGGTGTAGTTACAGGATGAGTAACTACACTTAGGTGTAGTTACACACAGGATGAGTAACTACACTTAGGTGTAGTTACAGGATGAGTAACTACACTTAGGTGTAGTTACACACAGGATGAGTAACTACACTTAGGTGTAGTTACAGGAAGAGTAACTACACTTAGGTGTAGTTACAGGATGAGTAACTACACTTAGGTGTAGTTACAGGAAGAGTAACTACACCTAAGTGTAGTTACAGGATGAGTAACTACACCTAAGTGTAGTTACAGGATGAGTAACTACACTTAAGTGTAGTTACACACAAATTTCTCATTTCTGGACTCCAAAAAGCCTTTGATACAGTACTTCATAAGAGATTACTACACAAATCTGAAGACCAGGTATGGGTAAGTGGACAAGAGTTAACATGGGTAAGGTATTACCTAGCGCACAGGAATCCGAAAGTAAGAGTAAAGGGCAAGAAGTCAGACCGGTGTAGGGCAACAAGCGGAGTACCTCAAGGACCGGTGCTGGGACCCATATGTACTATTTCTCAGTATGTAAATCTACAGCAGTTGAGTTTTATATGTCTACGTTAACAGACGATGGGAAAATTTGTGAGAAGAGTTGTTACAGACGAAGATTGCAAGGTTCTCCAAGATGACTTAAATTAGCAACCCGTTCTCGCACTTTCTTATAGTCAATATTGACTTATTAAATACGTGCATATGTGACATACTAATTTATTGTGAATATTTTAGTTTACCTTGAAAAGCATATACCTATTATAGGTATAGGTTAAGTAATAATTGTAATTACGAAGCAATAAGATGTTTATCTTAACATACTAAGAAGGTTAGGTAAAGTCGGTGTTTTCTATGAAGCTTTTCAAGGTAAACTAAAATATTCACAATAAATTAGTATGTCACATATGCACGTATTTAATAAGTCAATATTGACTATACGAAAGTGCGAGAACGGGTTGCAACGAGCACATAAAACTGCACGAAGCTCTGCCGTAAAGATGCTATTTTAGATGAAAGCAGGTGGCAAAAATAAGTTTGGCCAGGAAAAGCGATGGAGAAGCCAACACCGGTGACAGACTTTAAAATATCAGAATATGAGGAGGAGAGAGCGAGTGACAAAAATGTTCAAGGAGAACGCAGTTCATAACAGCAGGAGGAGTACAAACCTTTAATATGCGGATCCAAGCTTAGCAATATTTCCCAAGTGAGATCCTCCATGGGGGCAGGTAAGCACAGCACGAGCGGTGTTACTGCAGACGTGTACCAAGACTATTGTAAGTGGTCCAGCCTTGTGGGCCAGCCTTGTGGTCCAGCCTTGTGGTCCAGCCTTGTGGGCCAGCCTTGTGGGCCAGCCTTGTGGTCCAGCCTTGTGGTCCAGTCGTGTGGGCCAGCTTTGTGGGCCAGCCTTGTGGTCCAGCCTTGTGGTCCAGCCTTGTGGTCCAGCCTTGTGGGCCAGCCTTGTGGGCCAGCCTTGTGGGCCAGCCTTGTGGGCCAGCCTTGTGGGCCAGCCTTGTGGGCCAGCCTTGTGGGCCAGCCTTGTGGGCCAGCCTTGTGGTCCAGCCTTGTGGTCCAGCCTTGTGGTCCAGCCTTGTGGGCCAGCCTTGTGGGCCAGCCTTGTGGTCCAGCCTTGTGGTCCAGCCTTGTGGTCCAGCCTTGTGGGCCAGCCTTGTGGGCCAGCCTTGTGGGCCAGCCTTGTGGGCCAGCCTTGTGGGCCAGGCTTGTGGGCCAGGCTTGTAGTAAAAGGAAGTGAGAGGAGACAGGGCCCTCTAGAGGCGTGTTAGTCATCGCACAGCATAAGCGGTAACCGGGTGTTTGTAGAGACCACACTAAGCATCACACGTAGAAAAGATCACGACGATCCTGCACGATTCAACATATAAAATATGGATGGGGAATTAAAAGGCTTCAAAACTGAGGCTTAACCCCGTTTGATCCAACCATTGAGGCTAAGGATCACGGGGAAAGCAGAGGAATAGCCGGGACAGCCATAGTATAGTCGAGACAGCACAAGGGAGGAGTTCAATGTGGGAATGGACGTGTATCAAATTCACCGGAATAACGGAATAAGACTTCATTTAGGTAAGGGCGGAGGATGATTCAGCTCGGAGGTGAGAGATTGTGGGCGAATAAGACAGAACACGAAACAATGGGTATAAATTGGATAAATTTAGATTTAGGAAAGACTTGGGTAAATACTGGTTCGGTAACAGGGTTGTTGATTTGTGGAACCAGTTACCGTGTAACATAGTGGAGGTGGGGGTCCTCGATTGTTTCAAGCGCGGGTTGGACATGTATATGAGTGGGATTGGGTGGTTATAGATAGGAACTGCCTCGTATGGGCCAATAGGCCTTCTGCAGTTGCCTTTGTTCGTATGTTCTGAAGACAAGCGGGCGGCAAACATCAACCCCCAAGAAGAGTTTAGCAATGTCCTCATACAGATCATCATTGACATCCTTCAGAAACACACATTCTCTCTTATAGCCAAGATTAATGTTGCTTTTTAACCTGCCCCTAAACATCTCCAGACGCCCAACACATACCTTAACACGCACCCATCAGGCACCTGCCCCTAGGCGCCTCCCACACTTCCCTAACACACGCACCCCCATCAGGCACCTGCCCCAAGGCGCCTCCTACACTCCCCTAACACACGCACCCATCAGGCACCTGCCCCAAGGCGCCTCCCACACTCCCCTAACACACACACCCATCAGGCACCTGCCCCTAGGTGCCTCCCACACTCCCCTAACACACACACCCATCAGGCACCTGCCCCTAGGTACCTCCCACACTCCCCTAACACACACACCCATCAGGCACCTGCCCCTAGGTGCCTCCCACACTCCCCTAACACACACACCCATCAGGCACCTGCCCCTAGGTGCCTCCCACACTCCCCTAACACACACCCCCATCAGGCACCTGCCCCTAGGCGCCTCCCACACTCCCCAAACACACACCCCCATCAGGCACCTGCCCCTAGGCGCCATCACCCCCCCCCAAACACCCCCTAACATGCATCACCACCCCAGGCACTATACGATACGCTACCAGGGTGAGAAGTTTTTGGGTCAGTGGTTCAAGCAAGTGCCGCCGTTAGCTGAGGTGTGGTGAGGTGCCATGAGAGGGAGAGAAGGGGGGTAGGGGAGTGAGGCGCCGGAGTGCTCACACCTCATCCATTGCTCTCAGCTTTATAATTGCTGAATAATTATTGTTAATTTACAGCTTACAGTTGCGCTCATCCACATTCAGTGAGGGCTCTTGGTGCACCGGAGCGGCTGTTGTAGTGCCTGTACTCCACAGTGGCGGTCACAGCGCCTCTGGCTGTATCACAGCGTCTCTGGCTGTATCACAGCGTCTCTGGCTGTATCACAGCGTCTCTGGCTGTATCACAGCGTCTCTGGCTGTATCACAGCGTCTCTGGCTGTATCACAGCGCCTCTGGCTGTATCACAGCGTCTCTGGCTGTATCACAGAGCATCTGGCTGTATCACAGCGTCTCTGGCTGTATCACATAGCATCTGGCTGTATCACAGCGTCTCTGGCTGTATCACAGAGCATCTGGCTGTATCACAGCGTCTCTGGCTGTATCACAGAGCATCTGGCTGTATCGCAGAGCATCTGGCTGTATCACAGCGTCTCTGGCTGTATCACAGAGCATCTGGCTGTATCACAGCGTCTCTGGCTGTATCACAGCGCCTCTGGCTGTATCACAGCGCCTCTGGCTGTATCACAGCGCCTCTGGCTGTATCACAGAGCATCTGGCTGTATCACAGCGCCTCTGGCTGTATCACAGCGTCTCTGGCTGTATCACAGCGTCTCTGGCTGTATCACAGCGCCTCTGGCTGTATCACAGAGCATCTGGCTGTATCACAGAGCATCTGGCTGTATCACAGCGCCTCTGGCTGTACCATAGCGGCCGCCGGAGCTAGTATTGGAGTGAAGAAGATGTCGGTATGTTCCCAGCGGTGGTGTGTGGTAGTGACCGTTGTGTTAGTGGAGTAAGAAGTACAGTTACCCCCCGCAGGTGGGCCCGCACTCCTCTCTACCATAACTTCATTACCAGTTTCATCACTATCTACTGTGCCTTTGAGTTCTTTCATTATTATCCTCAGTTGTCATAGAAACTTACGATCGGTAGTTATTTTCATTTTACGTGTGCGTTTCTTGGGTTAAAATTACCTACATTGAGCTACTGGACCAAGGTCCATGGGTCGTTAGCGCTCACCTGGGATTGGTCGCTTGACGCGCGCCCTTTAACTGCCGCCCACCGTCGTTGGTGGGGTATTAACTGCCGCCCACCGTCGTTGGTGGGGTATTAACTGCCGCCCACCGTCGGTGGTGGGTGTTAACTGCCGCCCACCGTCGGTGGTGGGTGTTAACTGCCGCCCACCGTCGGTGGTGGGGGTTAACTGCCGCCCACCGTCGGTGGTGGGTGTTAACTGCCGCCCACCGTCGGTGGTGGGTGTTAACTGCCGCCCACCGTCGGTGGTGGGTGTTAACTGCCGCCCACCGTCGGTGGTGGGTGTTAACTGCCGCCCACCGTCGGTGGTGGGTGTTAACTGCCACCCACCGTCGGTGGTGGGTGTTAACTGCCGCCCACCGTCGGTGGTGGGTGTTAACTGCCACCCACCGTCGGTGGTGGGTGTTAACTGCCGCCCACCGTCGGTGGTGGGTGTTAACTGCCGCCCACCGTCGGTGGTGGGTGTTAACTGCCGCCCACCGTCGGTGGTGGGTGTTAACTGCCGCCCACCGTCGGTGGTGGGTGTTAACTGCCGCCCACCGTCGGTGGTGGGTGTTAACTGCCGCCCACCGTCGGTGGTGGGTGTTAACTGCCGCCCACCGTCGGTGGTGGGTGTTAACTGCCACCCACCGTCGGTGGTGGGTGTTAACTGCCGCCCACCGTCGGTGGTGGGTGTTAACTGCCGCCCACCGTCGGTGGTGGGTGTTAACTGCCGCCCACCGTCGGTGGTGGGTGTTAACTGCCGCCCACCGTCGGTGGTGGGTGTTAACTGCCGCCCACCGTCGGTGGTGGGTGTTAACTGCCGCCCACCGTCGGTGGTGGGTGTTAACTGCCGCCCACCGTCGGTGGTGGGTGTTAACTGCCGCCCACCGTCGGTGGTGGGTGTTAACTGCCACCCACCGTCGGTGGTGGGTGTTAACTGCCGCCCACCGTCGGTGCTGGGTGTTAACTGCCACCCACCGTCGGTGGTGGGTGTTAACTGCCGCCCACCGTCGGTGGTGGGTGTTAACTGCCGCCCACCAACGATCACACGCTAAAGCGGTAAAGGAAAATAACGTTTAACTCTCACTCCCACAGTGGGACTGGTGGATGAGAGCTCTCACTCCCACAGTGGGACTGGTGGATGAGAGCTCTCACTCCCACAGTGGACTGGTGGATGACAGCTCTCACTCCCACAGTGGACTGGTGGATGACAGCTCTCACTCCCACAGTGGACTGGTGGATGACAGCTCTCACTCCCACAGTGGGACTGGGGGATAAGAGCTCTCACTCCCACAGTGGGACTGGTGGATGACAGCTCTCACTCCCAAGTGGGACTGGTGGATGACAGCTCTCACTCCCACAGTGGGACTGGTGGATGACAGCTCTCACTCCCACAGTGGGACTGGTGGATGACAGCTCTCACTCCCACAGTGGGACTGGTGGATGACAGCTCTCACTCCCACAGTGGGACTGGTGGATGACAGCTCTCACTCCCACAGTGGGACTGGTGGATGACAGCTCTCACTCCCACAGTGGGACTGGTGGATGACAGCTCTCACTCCCACAGTGGGACTGGTGGATGACAGCTCTCACTCCCACAGTGGGACTGGTGGATGACAGCTCTCACTCCCACAGTGGGACTGGTGGATGACAGCTCTCACTCCCACAGTGGGACTGGTGGATGACAGCTCTCACTCCCACAGTGGGACTGGTGGATGACAGCTCTCACTCCCACAGTGGGACTGGTGGATGACAGCTCTCACTCCCACAGTGGGACTGGTGGATGAGAGCTCTCACTCCCACAGTGGGACTGGTGGATGAGAGCTCTCACTCCCACAGTGGGACTGGTGGATGAGAGCTCTCACTCCCACAGTGGGACTGGTGGATGAGAGCTCTCACTCTCACAGTGGGACTGGTGGATGAGAGCTCTCACTCCCACAGTGGGACTGGTGGATGACAGCTCTCACTCCCACAGTGGGACTGGTGGATGACAGCTCTCACTCCCACAGTGGGACTGGTGGATGACAGCTCTCACTCCCACAGTGGGACTGGTGGATGACAGCTCTCACTCCCACAGTGGGACTGGTGGATGACAGCTCTCACTCCCACAGTGGGACTGGTGGATGAGAGCTCTCACTCCCACGGTTTCTTCTAATTTGGTTCAGGGGGTTAAAGCCTATTAATCACTGATGGTCATTAAGGCCTCCATAATAGCTAAATTATCTACAAGTATAATTTAGTCTTAAACGTAAGTGAAGACTAAAGTCAACTGTGGGTGTATACACAATACCTCACACCCCGTTTTGACCTTGAACTATATGTTTAACACATCTCTAACCCTGTCCATGGAGGACAGAAGAAAAATGTATATATGCTGGTTAGCATTGTAAATGTGTGGCCACGTCTGTGGTAGAAAATAATAATAATAAAAAAAAACCGTTTTAACACTTTGTTAAATTAGATTACTTGAAAACAAGTCCCGTTAATCTTGTTATATCCAGGACCCAGATTGATACTTCCGTGTCGGGTGCACAGTGGTCGGCAGTAAAGGAACAGTTCTGAGAGCCGTAAGATGACACGTCCTAACTCACGAGTCACAGTGCCAACACTTCCTTCTCCTAAGATTTCCTACACCATTACTGCCAACCTGGCGCTGGTGATCGTCACTCGTGTGAGACAATCATGGCGAGGGTGTCCGATCATCGCACTACCCGTCCTCACACACCAAGTCCCACCCCGTCCTCCAAACAAAGACCCAAAGGTGAGTCCATTCACCCGCCAACCCCAACCCGTCCTCAAGTCCATTACATCCAGCGGTCGACCCCACAGACGCATTCATAAATTTTAACATGCTGTTCATTCAAAACAGGAGTTTTCTCAAATGTAAATTAATATTTTAATATATTAGCATATTGTGCATATATAGGCATAGGTTAGGTTAGGTGTTTAGGTTCTGTTGGCGATTATTTGTATTTGTAATACGTGGGTGAAGCATTTACAGCGTTGTGGTTCGAACAAAAGTCGTCAGTGAAGCACTTGTTCCGGAAGTGTTCGACCGTCAACAGTTGAGAGTTGTGTGTAAACTGTTTTTTATTCATAAACAGCTGGGGTTTGGCGGGTGGATGGAAAATAAATGCCAGCTAAACCAGAACGCCTAACATAGCCTCCCCTGGGGCTAATCATACGTAAAATTATAATGCAACATATGTTTAAATAATGTATTAAAAAAATAATATTACACATTTCGGAAACAAAATAAGGAATGCGCGTTGTGGTCGGCCGTTGCTTGTTAACTATTAGCATTACCTAGGCTCTGAAACCTAACATGTTCGGCATTAAACTGCATCCGCCAATCTTTCGTCCATTTAAAAAACCTGGTTAGTCTTCTGAATGCAATTCCCCCCGTATTTATAATACTAAAGTTTAATGCAGGGCCGATTTGCCCAACAGTCCGAGTTTTCCTGAAATTATATATTTTTCTAAAACAAAAATTCGTATGGAATGATAAAGCTTTGATAAACACTGATGTTTTAGTGAGATATAATTACTAGTGTGTGTCTGAGTAGGGGAAGGACGGGACGGTGGACGGGACTTTGGACGGAAGGGGGTTAGAGGGTGCGGATAATTGGCTTGAAGTTGGGGGGGAGGGAGGGGGGGGGGCGCTCTAGGCTCGGGGATCCTCGCCGGCTTCAGCAAAACTCATCTTCACTGTAACGCCAGACAGCAATCAGAGGAGGCGCGAGTTAAGAACACTGCCACCACCACCACCACAACGCCCGCTACCACTCCAACACCACCACGGTGGCTCACCACTCACCACCACAACTCCATTTTCCACCACCAACATCACCACTACAACATTCTCAAACCATAATTTCAATTTTACCGATCTAACTGCTAATTTTGATTACGTTTGGAGGACTACAAAGACTACGCCACCGTCGGGTCAAGTGTCAGCCCCTGACCGAGACTTGGTCAACTCAAGAGCGGTGCCCACACACACCTCCTACGGTGATGGCCACACACGCTACAGGGTACGTCCTTCTGTAATATTTATTGTAATATTTCATTTGTTACTAAGAACAGTATTCTTGTTGACACTAGACCAGTGGGACCTGATACTTGCTTGACACTTGACCAGTGAGACCTGATAGTTGCCTGACACTTGACCAGTGAGACCTGATACTTGCCTGACACTTGACCAGTGAGACCTGATACTTGCCTGACACTTGACCAGTGAGACCTGATACTTGCCTGACACTTGACCAGTGAGACCTGATACTTGCTTGACACTTGAGCAGTGAGACCTGATACTTGCCTGACACTTGACCAGTGGGACCTGATACTTGCTTGACACTTGACCAGTGAGACCTGATACTTGTCTGACACTAAACCAGTAAGAACTGATACTTGATATCTTAGTATTAAAATGTGCCTAACATTGAAGCCAGTAATCCCTCACATAGATTACGATAGCAGTAGTGCAGTACTGTCTACCAACATTAGTTAAAAAGAGATAGAGTTGTGATACAGTTTGACTAAGAGTGAGGTGTACGCAGAGCCCTGGCCGCCCTGCTGGTGCTGAACACAGCCGTGGTGGTGTCGGCGTCACCTCCACCAGCCCAGGACAGCCCGCCCCACGTCCGACATGCTCGACACCTTCACCACTTACTCGACCCCTTCGGTAAGTCAATGGCGATGTAAAATCCACTGTTCCTATTGTTTAGTTAAAATAGTGGGTTATATATATATATATATATATATATATATATATATATATATATATATATATATATATATATATATATATATATATATATATATATATATATATATATATATATATATATATATATATATATACATATATATATATATATGTATATATATACATATATATATATATATATATATATATATATATATATATATATATATATATATATATATATCTGAAAACTCACACCCCAGAAGTGACTCGAACCCATACTCCCAGAAGCAACGCAACTGGTATGTACAAGACGCCTTAATCCACTTGACCATCACGACCGGACATAATGAGGTGATAGCCGAGGCTATATGAACCACCCCACCGCCGGCACTCGGATAGTTATCTTGGGCATAGCATTTTACCAAATCACCTCATTCTTTGGGGCACACGTGAGGAACACAAATGCGAACAAGCCTGAATGGTCCCCAGGACATATGCAACTGAAAACTCACACCCCAGAAGTGACTCGAACCCATACTCCCAGAAGCAACGCAACTGGTATGTACAAGACGCCTTAATCCACTTGACCATCACGACCGGACATAATGAGGTGATAGCCGAGGCTATATGAACCACCCCACCGCCGGCACTCGGATAGTTATCTTGGGCATAGCATTTTACCAAATCACCTCATTCTTTGGGGCACACGTGAGGAACACAAATGCGAACAAGCCTGAATGGTCCCCAGGACATATGCAACTGAAAACTCACACCCCAGAAGTGACTCGAACCCATACTCCCAGAAGCAACGCAACTGGTATGTACAAGACGCCTTAATCCACTTGACCATCACGACCGGACATAATGAGGTGATAGCCGAGGCTATATGAACCACCCCACCGCCGGCACTCGGATAGTTATCTTGGGCATAGCATTTTACCAAATCACCTCATTCTTTGGGGCACACGTGAGGAACACAAATGCGAACAAGCCTGAATGGTCCCCAGGACATATGCAACTGAAAACTCACACCCCAGAAGTGACTCGAACCCATACTCCCAGAAGCAACGCAACTGGTATGTACAAGACGCCTTAATCCACTTGACCATCACGACCGGACATAATGAGGTGATAGCCGAGGCTATATGAACCACCCCACCGCCGGCACTCGGATAGTTATCTTGGGCATAGCATTTTACCAAATCACCTCATTCTTTGGGGCACACGTGAGGAACACAAATGCGAACAAGCCTGAATGGTCCCCAGGACATATGCAACTGAAAACTCACACCCCAGAAGTGACTCGAACCCATACTCCCAGAAGCAACGCAACTGGTATGTACAAGACGCCTTAATCCACTTGACCATCACGACCGGACATGAGTTTTCAGTTGCATATGTCCTGGGGACCATTCAGGCTTGTTCGCATTTGTGTTCCTCACGTGTGCCCCAAAGAATGAGGTGATTTGGTAAAATGCTATGCCCAAGATAACTATCCGAGTGCCGGCGGTGGGGTGGTTCATATAGCCTCGGCTATCACCTCATTATGTCCGGTCGTGATGGTCAAGTGGATTAAGGCGTCTTGTACATACCAGTTGCGTTGCTTCTGGGAGTATGGGTTCGAGTCACTTCTGGGGTGTGAGTTTTCAGTTGCATATGTCCTGGGGACCATTCAGGCTTGTTCGCATTTGTGTTCCTCACGTGTGCCCCAAAGAATGAGGTGATTTGGTAAAATGCTATGCCCAAGATAACTATCCGAGTGCCGGCGGTGGGGTGGTTCATATAGCCTCGGCTATCACCTCATTATGTCCGGTCGTGATGGTCAAGTGGATTAAGGCGTCTTGTACATACCAGTTGCGTTGCTTCTGGGAGTATGGGTTCGAGTCACTTCTGGGGTGTGAGTTTTCAGTTGCATATGTCCTGGGGACCATTCAGGCTTGTTCGCATTTGTGTTCCTCACGTGTGCCCCAAAGAATGAGGTGATTTGGTAAAATGCTATGCCCAAGATAACTATCCGAGTGCCGGCGGTGGGGTGGTTCATATAGCCTCGGCTATCACCTCATTATGTCCGGTCGTGATGGTCAAGTGGATTAAGGCGTCTTGTACATACCAGTTGCGTTGCTTCTGGGAGTATGGGTTCGAGTCACTTCTGGGGTGTGAGTTTTCAGTTGCATATGTCCTGGGGACCATTCAGGCTTGTTCGCATATATATATATATATATATATATATATATATATATATATATATATATATATATATATATATATATATATATACATGTGTGTATATCACGAAAATAAACACGTGATTAAAAATGTGACAATGTCAGACCACGGAGGAAAAATGAAACAGGAATTTCCTTAAGTACTTTCGTATATTAATACATCTTCACCACTATATATATATATATATATATATATATATATATATATATATATATATATATATATATATATATATATATATATGCGAACAAGCCTGAATGGTCCCCAGGACAATATGCAACTGAAAACTCACACCCCAGAAGTGACTCGAACCCATACTCCCAGGAGCCACGCAACTGGTATGTACAAGACGCCTTAATCCACTTGACCATCACGACCGGACAAAATGAGGTGATAGCCGAGGCTATTTGAACCACCCCACCGCCGGCACTCGGATAGTAATCTTGGGCATAGCATTTTACCAAATCACCTCATTCTTTGGGGCACACGTGAGGAACACAAATGCGAACAAGCCTGAATGGTCCCGAGGACAATATGCAACTGAAAACTCACACCCCAGAAGTGACTCGAACCCATACTCCCAGGAGCCACGCAACTGGTATGTACAAGACGCTTTAATCCACTTGACCATCACGACCGGACAAAATGAGGTGATAGCCGAGGCTATTTGAACCACCCCACCGCCGGCACTCGGATAGTAATCTTGGGCATAGCATTTTACCAAATCACCTCATTCTTTGGGGCACACGTGAGGAACACAAATGCGAACAAGCCTGAATGGTCCCCAGGACAATATGCAACTGAAAACTCACACCCCAGAAGTGACTCGAACCCATACTCCCAGGAGCCACGCAACTGGTATGTACAAGACGCCTTAATCCACTTGACCATCACGTGATGGTCAAGCCTCGGTGATGGTGATGGTGATAGTGATGGTGATGGTGATAGCCTCGGCTATCACCTCATTTTGTCCGGTCGTGATGGTCAAGTGGATTAAGGCGTCTTGTACATACCAGTTGCGTGGCTCCTGGGAGTATGGGTTCGAGTCACTTCTGGGGTGTGAGTTTTCAGTTATATATATATATATATATATATATATATATATATATATATATATATATATATATATATATATATATATATATATATATATATATATATATATATATATATATATATATACACATATATATATATATAGTGGTGTTGATTGTTTTTCTGGTTTATATACTTGAGTTAATAAACACAACAAAATGAGTTTACTTCCCGAGTGATCTCTGACAAGGTCTGCGGTTGCAGGTCTGCTGAAGAAGGCCGGGGAGGCTATGAGCGGGGCGGTGGAGGGCGTGCAGGGCGCCGTCCAAGGCCTGGGCAAGACCATGGATCAAGGCGCCCAACACCTCACCACAATGTTGCAAGACGGCGCTAAGTCACTGGATTCCGTCTTCAAGAACCACATGGGACAGGTAATGGCAACTCTCGTTAAGTCTCACATATTATACATTATTACCTGTAACAGCTAATGGTTGGTAGCGACTCACCTCAAGAACTACTTGTAGCCAGCAGTAGTTAATTGCTGCTAACGCCATTACCAATATGAAGTAAGTTGCAGGGAACGGCTGCCGTGGTATGCAAGACCCACCTCAGCCAGGTACCAAATATTTGGTACACGATATTGCTACTACTTGCTCCTGTATATATGTATATATGCTGGTTAGCATTGTAAATGTGTGGCCACGTCTGTGGTAGAAAAATAATAATAAAAAACTTGCTCCTGATCCTAAACAATAACAAGACGTGATTCAGTTATCCAGAAATGGTCACATGGACAGAGAAAAGACGTGAGAGTGTTTTCGTATATTGAAAACATTCACGTGAGATACGTTTGTATTAGTAATGTGTTAATTACACCACAGCATTCTCAAATATCATTCCTCTATCCACCAATTTAATTTTGCTGTGTTGATGAGGAAAAGAATATATTATATATATATATATATATATATATATATATATATATATATTATATATATATATATATATATATATATATATATATATATATATATATATATATATATATAAAGTAATTTGATCGACGATTACTAAGAGAGAAATATATTTTTCTGTCACTCACGCAAAGAGGCTTGTTAACAACGGGTGTGGTAGAGTACGGGTCCTGTTGACAACAACGGGAGTGGTAGAGTACGGGTCCTGTTGACAACAACGGGAGTGGTAGAGTACGGGTCCTGTTGACAACAACGGGAGTGGTAGAGTACGGGTCCTGTTGACAACAACGGGAGTGGTAGAGTACGGGTCCTGTTGACAAGAGTGCTACCTGCCATAAGTAAGATGTTCTCCCCCGTACAACAGGCGCGCGCGGGTCTGGAGGAGGCGGGCAAAGTGGCGACCATTGTCAGTGAGGACCTGGCCGAGTCGGTCTCCAGTCTGGTCTCTAACCATCTGCAGGGACCCTCCCAAGACCAGGTTATGAGGCGGGAAGGCATCGTCGACGGCTTCCTCAGGATGGTGGGCATCGAACCCTCGCAAGTGGGGCTCATGGCTCTCAATGTGCTCATCTTCCTGGCTGAACTGGTAAGTGAAGGATGCTATGTTATGCAGGTGGTGGGTCATTGTACTGGTGGGTCATGATGTACGTGGTCATGATTTACGAGGGTCATGATCATTCAGTAACTGCCACAACCCACAGATAACGTCGTCGCTAATAGGGAACAAGAAGAATGACATCCCGGAGACACGGTCAGGCGAGGACTCCATCATCACTTGGCTTCTCACACGCAACCCATTCAAGGTACTGTGGTGGTGTGTACTGGTGGTGTTGTGGTGGTCGATGTGTGGTAGTGGTCGTTTTTGTGGTTGTAGGTGTGTGGTAGTGGTTATGATTGTGGTGGTAGTAGTTGTGGTTATGGTGGTGTGTGGTGATGGTGGTATGGTGTACTGGTGTGGTTGTGCTGGTGTAATTGTGATGTGGTTGTGATGCTGTGTTTATGGTGGTTGTTGTTTTTGGAGCGAAGAGATTTTAGGAAGGGAGAGAGGGAGAAGAGACTGGAGGGTATGAAAAGAGAATTACTAGGAAGGAAAAAGTTGTATGAAAGGAGACATAGAGAAAGAGAGGGAAGGCAGACAAATGGAGGTGGCAACGTAACAGTGCTGCCAACTCAAGCTCTCACCTCATCCAATGTAAACATTAACCAACCCTTTCTCCTAAAATGATAATACCTTTAGCAACTATTTGGTCCAACGTTCAAAAATGGACTGTTGGACCCAAAAAGTTCATGTTTTGTACTATTAATTTTGTTGAGGGCTCTAAAATATAAACTTAAGCATGCCTAGGCTTGTGATAGTGTACATTAGGCTTAGAGTTTTCTGGGGACATACTAGGTTAGTCTTTAGTTACATTTCAATTTTTTTAGAATGCTCTGTTATGTCAGCGCAGGTGGACACCATGTTGAAGGAGGCGCAAGACCCCGGCCTACCCCGCGCCATCATTGAGAAGCTGGTGGAGGCGACGGGCGACGACACCGCCTGCGTGCAGCTGCTGGTGTGTAAGATGTCTCCCGTAGTGTGGGGCCTCCAGCGTTCCGTCAACCACTCATCCCAGTCCACACCAATGGACAATGAGGCCCATGAGAAAGGAATTTTCCAGGTAAAAGTGATACGAAGCTTTGGGAATTGTTCCACGTCATACAACTTTTAAAATAGAGCATTTGTTCAAGTAATGGTTAGAACACTTGTCAGACTCGACTAAAACTACGGCGTCTCTCACAGTAAACTGGGACCCAACCACTATGGCGTCTCTCACAGTCAACTAGGACCCGACCACCTTGAGGCTACCTTGAGGTGCTTCCGGGGCTTAGTGTCCCCGCGGCCCGGTCGTCGACCAGGCCTCCTGGTTGCTGGACTGATCAACCAGGCTGTTAGACGCGGCTGCTCGCAGCCTGACGTATGAGTCACAGCCTGGTTGATCAGGTATCCTTTGGAGGTGCTTATCCAGTTCTCTCTTGAACACTGTGAGGGGTTTGCCAGTTATGCCCCTTATGTGTAGTGGAAGCGTGTTGAACAGTCTCGGGCCTCTGATGTTGATAGAGTTCTCTCTCAGAGTACCTGTTGCACCTCTGCTTTTCAACGGGGGTATTCTGCACATCCTGCCATGTCTTCTGGTACCACTATGGCGTCTCTCACAGTAAACTACGACCCGACCACTATGGCGTCTCTCACAGTAAACTAGGACCCGACCACTATGGCGTCACACAGTAAACTACGACCCGACCACTATGGCGTCTCACAATAAACTACGACCCGACCACTATGGCGTCTCTCACAGTAAACTAGGACCCGACCACTATGGCGTCTCTTACAGTAAACTACGACCCCGACCACTATGGCGTCTCTCACAGTAAACTAGGACCCGACCACTATGGCGTCTCTCACAGTAAACTACGACCCGACCACTATGGCGTCTCTCACAGTAAACTACGACCCGACCACTATGGCGTCTCTCACAGTAAACTACGACCCGACCACTATGGCGTCTCTCACAGTAAACTACGACCCGACCACTATGGCGTCTCTCACAGTAAACTACGACCCGACCACTATGGCGTCTCTCACAGTAAACTACGACCCGACCACTATGGCGTCTCTCACAGTAAACTAGGACCCGACCACTATGGCGTCTCTCACAGTAAACTAGGACCCGACCACTATGGCGTCTCTCACAGTAAACTAGGACCCGACCACTATGGCGTCTCTCACAGTAAACTACGACCCGACCACTATGGCGTCTCTCACAGTAAACTAGGACCCGACCACTATGGCGTCTCTCACAGTAAACTAGGACCCGACCACTATGGCGTCTCTTACAGTAAACTACGACCCGACCACTATGGCGTCTCTCACAGTAAACTACGACCCGACCACTATGGCGTCTCTCACAGTAAACTACGACCCGACCACTATGGCGTCTCTCACAGTAATGTGTTGACAATTATAAAAATGCTAAGTGTGAAAGGCTTTTGGCGTGTTCAATGTGGCGGTTGAGTTAATCATTTTTGTCCGGGTGCCGAGTTGAATGTAATCCCCAGAATTTAGTTTCAAGGGGTTGTGGTTAATGGATCTTTAGTCCGGGGAGCTTTAGTAAAGTGGCTTTAGTATAAAGGACTCTAGAAATAACTTTTGTAAAATGAGGTTTAGTTGTGGAGACTTTTCTAGGAAGCTTTAGTTCCGTGGATGAGATTTCTCTAAAGAGCTTTAGTTCCGTGGATACATTTTTAGGGAGCTTTAGTTTCGTAGATTAGACTTCTCCAAGGAGCTTAAATTCCGTCGATGAGACTTCTTTAGGGAGATTTAGTTGGGTCTGGCTATCACAGCCTTCTCAAGTATTACATAAAACACATTCGTTTTAATAAATCTGTATAGTTGGGTAGGAAGTGTTATTACACTAATGTGGAACCACTGTAGATGTTTGTGAGGTTAATGACTCTGTTTTCCTCAGACGCTGTACTCGTCCCTGCCGGAGCTCGAAGACTTCGTGGAGTTCTCAGAGTCGTGTGAGAGACAATTTCCGGCTTGTCCTCTCCTCAGCCTCTCTCAACTCGGCGTGTGAGGCCATACTACTTTCTTGTCTCAATACCTTCAGGAACGCACCTGATTTACATATTACTGAGAGCAACATAATCTTCCGTTTCTTCACGGCCTCCTGGGGCACAGCGCTGTGAAATTTATACTTCTAGTCATCATACCTGATCATTACCTCTAGCCATTCTCTACAATCTCAGCCTTCACTCATCACCACCAATTACAAACATGAGAAGTGGGTCTGTACAAGCTCGTGTATTTAAATACAAGATACTGAAACGTTAAAGACGTATATATGATGACAATTTCAAGTCGTAAGAGACTGATACGGCAAGGCAATCATAACTTTTCTTTATTTGTTCCTTAAATGTATTTAAAAAATGGTCCTTAGCCTCTTGCACTCCACCTTCACAAGAAGCATCAACAACTACAACAGCGCCGGGGACAAAGATGGGACGGTTTGAAGTTCAAATTTTGGCGAATAGAAAATGGTTTTGGTTTACGAGAACCTTGATGAGGCTGGCTGATGATGGGCAGACACACAACGCGATAATTCCTCTGGTGCTTCCTAGCAACTGAAGCAGTTTAAAGACAATGCCAGGTGAGGTAGATAGACCTACAAGACGAGGTAGAGAGGTCTACCAGGTGATTCAGATAGGCCTAAAAGACGAGGCAGAGCGACCTACAAGATGCGGATAGGCCTCTGCATCACAAGATGATGCAAAAAGGCCTACAAGGTGATGTAGAGAGGCCTACAAGGTAATGCAGAGGTTTGAAAGGTGATGCAGAGGCTTACAAGATGATGTAGAGGCCTATAAGATAATGCAGAGGCCTACAAGGTAATCTAGACAACACAATTCAGAACAGTGACATGATGTTCAAAACTTCAGACCACTTAGACTCAAGCCATTTCTACAATATTTTTGCCCGTTGATTTAAACTTCTGGCACGAATACAGACAAATATACAAGCAATAAATCTACAAAAATAAGCGTCGATTTATTAGAGAAAAGATCAAGGCCGTATTTTTTTTTTATTAAATTAATATTGAAAACAATCAAAGAGAAAACTTTGTACCGTATTTCACGTTTTTATAAATGACAATGAAACGTGATTTTTTCCTTAGTTGTCACACCTCAAAGGTTTTGGTATCATTGTGAATTTTGGGTGTTTTGAATAGTAAGAAATCTGTGTAGATCTGCTTCACTGGGGAGACGCGCAGGCGCGCAGTTGTTATAAGGGATACATAGGGCATTGTTGTCAGCGCCTCACCCAACTAGAGAGGGTCTGGCCTTGTTAGTCTCGAGTAAACATGTCTCTAAGTCCATCGTGGTTTTATTTCCCGCGTTAAATTCCACTTTAACTGAAACTGTGGGCCAAGTAGAGGGGCGTTGTGGGAGCACAGGTCACACAATATATTACAACACAGGTTATAACATTATAACACAGGTTATAACATTACAACACAGGTTATAACATTACAACACAGGTTATACCATTATAACACAGGTTATAACATTACAACACAGGTTATAACATTACAACACAGGTTATAACATTACAACACAGGTTATAACATTACAACACAGGTTATAACATTACAACACAGGTTATAACATTATAACACAGGTTATAACATTATAACACAGGTTATACCATTATAACACAGGTTATAACATTACAACACAGGTTATACCATTATAACACAGGTTATAACATTACAACACAGGATATAACATTACAACACAGGTTATACCATTATAACACAGGTTATAACATTACAACACAGGTTATAACATTACAACACAGGTTATACCATTATAACACAGGTTATAACATTACAACACAGGTTATACCATTATAACACAGGTTATAACATTACAACACAGGTTATAACATTATAACACAGGTTATAGCATTATATCACAGGTTATAACATTACAACACAGGTTATACCATTATAACACAGGTTATAACATTATAACACAGGTTATAACATTATAACACAGGTTATAGCATTATATCACAGGTTATAGCATTATATCACAGGTTATAACATTATAACACAGGTTATAACATTACAACACAGGTTATACCATTATAACACAGGTTATAACATTATAACACAGGTTATAACATTATAACACAGGTTATAACATTATAACACAGGTCATACAACACAGACCCATACATTACAAAAGTGTACAAATTACAGCCACCATACACTAGATATTGCCTTCTTCTCTTACCAACTCCTCACCTCACTCTTGCTTTATTTAATGCCTGTGCCTTCCTCCCTACCAAGTTACAGCCCCGCTCCTGTATCAGGTAAGTCCACTACGGGCTCACCATAGCCCGTGCTACTTGCAACTTTTTGCTTGTTCAACATAAGACACTCATCTGCACTGAGCTCCTAAACCAGCTCTCGAGTGTTCATGTCACTAAAATGATGTACTAAATTGCCCGTACCTAACCCAACCGAGGACCCACGAATAGAAAACGGGACATAACGTCAATTTTGTGAGCCGCTATGATCTTTAGTACATCAGTTTTTAAAGCCTTAGAAGATTTATACGACGTCAAAATGCTATTTAAGAGGCCGGGTTGTTAAAGGCCACAAACGATGTGGTGGGAATGCTGACAATCAAAACATAAATCCTAAATGGGTTATTATCCTTGTATATGTTACCACAGGCAAATCCTAGGCAGTTTAAGGGCCATATTATGAAAATATAGAATAAATATAGAATTAAAATAGAGCAAAAGGCCATCAGTTAAATCAAAAAAAGACTCCAAAATACTTTTTCTCCGGTGTAAAATCTAGAACAAAACTGCATCTAGTAACATATATCAGATGTTACCTTACCCTTAGGGAGGGCCTAACAGCTGAGTGGACAGCGCTTCGGATTCGTAGTCCTGAGGTTCCGGGTTCGATCCCCGATGAAGGCGGAAATATATGGGCAGAGTTTCTTTCACCCTGATGCCCCTGTTACCTAGCAGTAAATAGGTACCTGGGAGTTAGACAGCTGCTACGGGCTGCTTCCTGGGGGTGTGTAACAAAAAGAAGGCCTGGTCGAGGACCGGGCAGCGGGGACGCTAGGCCCTGAAATCATCTCAAGATAACCTCAAGATAACGGAACCCCACTGAGCTTCACCACCAGACTGGTCAGTGACGTTACCGTGGGCTGGTCAGTAACAACATTACCTCGGGCTGGTCAGTGACGTTACCGTGGGCTGGTCAGTAACAACATTACCCCGGGCTGATCAGTGACGTTACCGTGGGCTGGTCAGTAACAACATTACCCCGGGCTGATCAGTGACGTTACCGTGGGCTGGTCAGTAACAACATTACCCCGGGCTGATCAGTGAACAACAATGTTCAACACAGTCACATATAAGCGGCTTGCGTGGTGGCCCCGACCATATGATCCGTCAGCTGTTTTTGGTAAACACGCGGGGGCTTTTAAACTCTATAAGCACAGGGTCTGTTTATTAAGGGCATGAGCGTGTGTTTGTGTTTGCTTGTGTTTGCTTGTGTTTGTGTGTACGTGTACTCATTCAAATGTGCTTGCATGATCGAGCGCTAGACTCTGAGCCCCGACTTGCCATGATCAAATACAAAGACACCCGCCCCTACAGTCTTGACTACTACCTTACTTCCCAGTCTGCTTATTGAATTACCTCGCATCTCCTCTAGATTTCAAAATGTTATTTTTGTATTTACCACTAACATCAGCACCACTAACACCACCACCACCACCACTAACACCACCAACACCACCACCAGCACCACTAACACCATCAACACCACCACCAGCACCACTAACACCATCAACACCACCACCAGCACCACTAACACCATCAACACCACCACCAGCACCACTAACACCACCACCAGCACCACTAACACCACCAGCACCACCAGCACCACTAACACCACCACCACCACCACCAGCACCACCAACACCACCACCACTAACACCACCACCAGCACCACTAACACCACCACCACCACCACCACTAACACCACCACCACCACCACCACTAACACCACCACCACCAGCACCACTAACACCACCACTACCACCACCACGAACACCACCACCACCAGCACCACTAACACCATCAACACCACCACCAGCACCACTAACACCACCACCACTAACACCATCAACACCACCACCAGCACCACTAACACCACCACCAGCACCACTAACACCACCACCACCACCACCACTAACACCACCACCACCACCACCAGCACCACTAACACCACCACTACCACCACCACTAACACCACCACCACCACCACCAGCACCACTAACACCATCAACACCACCACCAGCACCACTAACACCACCACCAGCACCACTAACACCACCACCACCACCACCACTAACACCACCAACACCACCACCAGCACCACTAACACCACCACCACCAGCACCAGCACCACTAACACCACCACCACCAGCACCACTAACACCACCAACACCACCACCAGCACCACTAACACCACCACCACCACTAACACCACCACCACCACCACCAGCACCACTAACACCACCACTACCACCACCACTAACACCACCACCACCACCACCAGCACCACTAACACCACCACCACCACCACCACTAACACCACCACCACCACCACCAGCACCACTAACACCACCACTACCACCACCACTAACACCACCACCACCACCACCAGCACCACTAACACCATCAACACCACCACCAGCACCACTAACACCACCACCAGCACCACTAACACCACCACCACCAGCACCACTAACACCATCAACACCACCACCAGCACCACTAACACCACCAGCACCACTAACACCACCACCAGCACCACTAACACCACCAACACCACCACCAGCACCACTAACACCACCACCACCACTAACACCATCAACACCACCACCAGCACCACTAACACCACCACCAGCACCACTAACACCACCACCACCACCACCACTAACACCACCACCACCACCACCAGCACCACTAACACCACCACTACCACCACCACTAACACCACCACCACCACCACCACCACCACTAACACCATCAACACCACCACCAGCACCACTAACACCACCACCAGCACCACTAACACCACCACCACCACTAACACCACCAACACCACCACCAGCACCACTAACACCACCAACACCACCACCAGCACCACTAACACCACCACCACCAGCACCACTAACACCACCAACACCACCACCAGCACCACTAACACCACCAGCACCACCACTAACACCACCACCAGCACCACTAACACCAACACCACCACCAGCACCACTAACACCACCAGCACCACCACTAACACCACCACCAGCACCACTAACACCAACACCACCACCAGCACCACTAACACCATCAACACCACCACCAGCACCACTAACACCACCAGCACCACTAACACCACCAACACCACCACCAGCACCACTAACACCACCAGCACCACCACTAACACCACCACCAGCACCACTAACACCAACACCACCACCAGCACCACTAACACCACCACCACCACCACCAACACCACCACCAGCACCACTAACACCACCAGCACCAGCACCAGCACCACTAACACCACCACCACCAGCACCACTAACACCACCAACACCACCACCAGCACCACTAACACCACCACCACCAGCACCACTAACACCACCCACTAACACCACCACCACCAGCACCACTAACACCACCACCACCACCAGCACCACTAACCACCACCAGCACCACTAACACCACCACCACCACCACCACTACCACTAACACCACCACCACCAGCACCACTAACACCACCAGCACCAATACCACACCACCACACACCACCAGCACCACCAGCACCACTAACACCACCACACCACCACCACCACCACCACCACCAGCACCACTAACACCACCAGCACCACTAACACCACCAGCACCACTAACACCACCAACACCACCACCAGCACCACTAACACCACCACCACCAGCACCACTAACACCACCAGCACCACTAACACCATCAACAACACCACCAGCACCACTAACACCACCACCACCAGCACCACTAACACCACCACCACCACCACTAACACCATCAACACCACCACCAACACCATCAACACCACCACCAGCACCACTAACACCAGCACCACCACCACCACCACCACCACCTAACACCATCAACACCACCACCAGCACCACTAACACCACCACCACCACCACTAACACCATCACCACCACCACCACCACCAGCACCACTAACACCATCAACACCACCACCAGCACCACTAACACCACCACC